AGCCGGTCGTGCCTGTTGGAGCGGGGCTGGCGCTGCCCAGGTGCCGTTGGGTCCGGACCTCGCGGGCTGTAATTACCTGTGGGCAGGGCTTGGGGCGGGGCGCGGCTGTAGCTGGGCTCCAAGGGGCACGTGTGGTTGCAGCTGCGCCGCCCGGGGCAGGGTGCTCGAGTGCTGAGCTCTTCTCACCGGGTTGCGAGTAGCAGTGATAGTATTAGCGTTAGTAATAGCATTAGTAATAGTAAAAGACCTAATAGCAATAGTCGTCACCTGAGGGAGCAAAGCCTAGTGCTGCTAATAAGGAGTAGTCACTAGCTGTAGCCCCTTGCTCGCAGGCTGGAGCAGGCTAGTTAGTGGGGGGCTGGCACTCTCCTCTTCCCTTTCTCTCTACTGAAGGAGTCTGGAGCCAGTTTGCACTGCCAGTGCTGTGCAGCCTGGGCTGCTCCAGAGACCATCGCCAGCCCTGCATGGCTCTTCTGGACCAAGACGGGACCTCCCTGTGATAAAGTGTTCCTGTGGGTGCAATTGCCTGCCTCCCTGCCATGGAGAACAGGTGCTACGGCTGCACATCCAAGTTCACTCTTTTCAAGAAAGAGGCAAGTCTGCCTTACGTGGGGGATAAAAGGTCAGGGTGGCACCCCAGGAGGTCAGGTAGCCAGGCAGGCAGCAGTGCTTGATTGGTGCCACGTGGAGCACCAGCCCTGTGAGGGTCTGAATGCAGAGTGCCAACCACACTTCCCATTTGCTGCCTTCCGGACCTAAGCTTGACCCTGCCGTGTGTGTTCATTTGGAAGCACGTGTTCCCCATGCCCTATCATGGCTCTCTGGTTGATGGGGGTGGCTTTCAGGGGCATTTTGGTGGGAGGGGGTTTAAATACTGATGGCACAGAAACTAATATCTTGCCAGTTAAAGTGGTAGGGATTCCTGTAACAAAAAAGGCTTGTGACTTGCATCACCCACTCTTCTGCACGTGCTTCAGAGGAGAGAATGACTCTTCTCTGCGCACTGTCTCATGAGAGAGAATGATATTCCCGATTCTAGCTGTTAAGCCTTTTACGTCCTGAAGGTTGAAGGCTGATAATCGTTATATTGTGTATGTAGGTGCACTAGCTAGGATAAACCATTCCTACTTGGAGAAATATTTCATTAATAAAAAGCAAACAAACCTTAGAACTCCCTGAATATCTCTGAAGTACTTGATACTGAAGCTGCATCTCCCTGGTCCCTGTTCAGAGAGACTCAGCGTTCATCTAGAGTTGTTGCGGGCAGGTACTGATACACTTTCAGTACTCTGCCTCTCTTTTTCTCTCTCCTCAGTGTGGATGTAAGAACTGTGGGCGGGCATTTTGCTCAGGATGTCTTGGATTCAGTGCCATTGTTCCTCGGTGTGGGAGTACTCAGCAGAAGGTGTGCAAGCAGTGTCATGGGGTGCTAACTGGGTAAGATGTGAGACTTGGGCACTGTCTCTATATCTACTGTCTTTTCTTGTTTCAGCACTCTGTCACAATGCAGATTTTTGACCCACTTCCCTCTTAATAACTCCACCCTAAACTCATACTCGCATTGATCCTATCTTGGATTCCAATAGAGGATAGTTCTTCACTGACCTACAGCTGCCTGGGTTGTCCATTCATTTATCCAGAAGACTACAGTTGATGTAACCTTTTGCCTTTAAGGCAAAATAAAAATGTTCTAAAATTCTACCCTTCCTGTTTCACTGAGTTATGATCTGTAATCTGATTCCCAAGTTTTGCATACTGTTGGGTTGCTTTCCTTTTTAAAGGAGGAAATATTCCTGGCCTCCAAGCTTGGAAAGCCTCAGAGCCCAGACTTTACAACCAGCCAGACTACCCAGAAGAGAGGTCAGCCTTCCACAGACAGCGACCCTTACTCTCATTTGTTTAATATCTCAGAACAGGAACAGTGGAACAGGCTGGAAAGGCTAAGACGACCCAGTGGAAAAATGTTTTTGCTTTCCTTGTTCACTAGAGTAGACAAAATGGTACATTTATGTCCTGATCTTGCAAACTGCTCTTTGTCATTGAGGGCTCCATCAGGCAAACAGTTCTGTCCCAAACAACACCTTGCAAAATCTGAGCTTTGAAGTGTAACCTCTTTGTGGTGGGGCCCAGGCCTTCGTTCTTATCTCTACAGTGCCTTGCTCAATGTAGAGCTTATCCTTATTGGGGTCTCTGAGAACAACTGTTGTGAAGTTGATGTAATATCTTCCATAAATATCAGGAAAGGTTGCAATGTTAATCACGTGTTAATCACCTTGACTTTAAGCATATTTGTAGTAGATCATATCCAACTATTGTCTACTACAAATTATAATGTGTAGTAATATTGTAATAATTACAATATTATAATTTGTATTATATAACTATTTCTGCAATATGTAGTTACATAAAACCCTTTAGACCTTGCATGTTATATAATTATGTATTTGGAGCCAGTTAAGTTGTATCTTTTCCCCTAGGCTGTTCATTGATGGTGACCTAGGAAAGTTTAGAACCTTAACTTGTTTCCTCCTGTTTTCTGCCTTTGGAGATGCAAACTGCAAGATAGAGGGGGTGTTTCAGATCCTTTCTGTTGGGGGTTGTCAAGGGGTGGGGGATGCATACCCTGAGGGGGTACTTGGGAAGACCCCAGAGGGTATACAGCAGCAGCATGGAGAAGCGTTAGGTGGGGCCACCAGCACATTGTGGCGTTACATATCACGTGCCGCTGGTGCTTTTGTTTTTGCTGGTGTTGCGCACTGCTGGTACTTCTGGTTTTGCTGCTGCACACTATGCGGCCCAACGCACCCCCCACCCCCCTCCTGGATCGGCCAATGCGGGACTCCCCACTTCTCCACTGGCTGCCGGGGGTACACCGACCCAAAAAAAAAAAAAAAGGTTGAAAACCACTGCTTTATATTGTAACATTGATAGCCATTTTAAACTAAGTCAGTCTCGTGCGGATACTTTTTATTCCCATCTCTACTGTAAGAAGGCTGAGTCACTGAGTCCAGTTTCCTGCTGTCATATGCAACCTCCACATAATCCCTTTCAGAAACTGGGCAGATGCCATCTGGGTTGGTTTTTGAAAGGAATTATATGATGTGGCTGCTGATGAATGCAGTTGAACCATGCATTCTGTTCCCATAGGTTTGAACAAGAGAGGGTATGTGATGGAAGCATGTAGTTCAGACATGTGCCTCTATGCTGTGCTTCACATTTGGGTTGTTTTTTTTTTTTCGTAGAGGGGCGTCTCAAAGCAGCACAGCAAGATGGTCCCCACCAGAGAACTACAAAAAGTGAGTTCTGCTCATTTGGTTATTTCATTGCATTTCCCCTTGGTCCTCGTCTTTTCTACTGAAATTGGCAGAAGGCAGGGTCTTGGATATGGACTGCTTGGGACTGGATTGAGACCAGCAGCTGTTGTGCAAGGCTGATAAAACAGTTTTTTTAGATACTAATGACTTCTGGCTGTTACAGCCTGTAGCTGGATTCAACTTTAAGTTTATAAACCAGCTGAATCAGAGATGCATAAAGTGCACCTCTACCTTGCCTTCTGCCTGGATTTCACCTGTGCTACAAAAGCATAAATTTCTATATTTCACTGTCAACTCTGCCATTCACTTTTTGACCACTTTATGTTGCTGCTGTTCAATAATCTTTTTTTCTCTCTAGTGCCCCAGATTTAAATCTAGCCTATTGAAGTCAGGAGCAGGAATATAAAAGCATTTGACCTGTTCTCTTCTATAGCGTCTTTTTCCCAAATAACATTTGTTACAGGGGGGGCTCAGAAGATCTTTTCAGAATTCATCTTCTGAGTTCCAAGCTCTGCTGCTTTTTCCCTCCTTGTCCCAGGCGTGTAGCAGCTCTTGAAGCAAAGCAGAACCAGCCCAAGAGGCAGCCAAAGGGACCCACAAAACTCCAAGGCCTAGCAGATCCCAAATATCAGGGGCTGTCAAAAGAGGACAGAGCTATTGCTGAGAGACTGGAGAGGCTCAAGGAGGACACAAAGCCCAGTGAGTGTCACAGGACTGTGGAGACTCTCAGTGGGGAAGCAGTGGTTTCATTGCAGCTTGTGAAATGCATCATCCACTGCTGCTATTCTGCAATTACAACTACCAGTGTATTGATAATCTAGTCTGTGTGCCTGGAAATTGGTAAGAGAAAGCTGTCCATGGAAGCCAGGCCCTGCCTGTGCTACCACAGCATGTGGCATTACCTTTTGGTTACCTGGGTTAATATCCTTGGCTTAGCTGTCTTGGACTCCTGAGTTTTTTCACTGACTTGCTCAGTGCAGTTCTTACCTAAGTATCACACACAGTAAAATAATTTGCTTGTTTATATTTGTCTTGGGGCCATTCTTGTGCATGATAGCAACAGGAACAAGGCAAAGCAGGGGCCAGCACACTGCTGAGACTGTGTGGCCATAGCGTTATGCTGAAGGTTACACATGGGAGCAGTTTGTCTGGGCTGCACCAGGGCTCCAGGGGATCCCATTCTGGTCAATCCTGCCTCTCAGGAACTGGAGAGAGAGCTGATTTCAGCACATGGTCCCAGGGAGGGTCTGAAACCAGTCTCTTGTAGGTGTAATAGGGGCAAGAACCTTAACTGGTTTTAAGATGGAGCTTGATTTGTCTTTGACTGGGGTTATATGAGTGGTGTCTGTAGTGTCAGGGGACTAGGGTCAGTGACCCAGGAGATCCCTTCCAGTCCT